TTGGGTTTTTTTTTTTTTTTTTTACTTTTTAAAAATAGGAAATAAAATGACGTCTAAAATTGTATGTAAAATTTAAATTAGGAAAAAACATTAATTTGCTTAGTCACATCAGCTAACAAAACTTCTAGAGCAATGCTTGGTGTACAGAAAATGTTTTTACAAAACTTACCTACACACAAATTGGTGGGTCCTGCATCAATTAAAAAATGTCATAACATACACGTACCCACCCTGCCATTGTGTCTGTCGGTAAATTTTACAGAAGAAAAATCTTCTGTACAAATGAAGTTCTTCAAACTAATCTACACGAAACTCTTGAGATTGTCTATTTTTTCTCCGCTATGCTAGTTTGAAAAAAATCCCTACCGACTTGCAGCGGAGAGGAATTTTTTTGAATAAACCTATAGCACAATTTTTTAAACAATTTATGGTTGTATTGAAGATACGAGGTGAAAATAAAATTTGAGTATTTGTATTTATATCTTCAAATAATCCAAATTAAATGAAGCTGGAGATCCAAACAGAGCACAAGTTTTGTCTCCTGAAAATAAGAATCTAATATTGAGTAGTAAGAAGTAAAATGATGATATGGTCATATTTATGACTATTGATGGCAGTATGAAAAGGAAGTAATAGAATTGATTTCACGACCAATATTTGAACAAATTAATTCTTACAAGGGACAATTCCCATGTTGAAAAATCTCCCAAGAGTCAATTTGCCTGTCCAAATTCACCTATGAAAAGGCAACTTCGTGGGTTATTAGTTTAATTTGTCGAGTTAAACTTAACACGATAGAACCAAAGTACGAACACTGGTGCCGACGCAGATATTTATAGTTACGGAAACTTTTGAGTGGTTTAAGAATATTTTTTTGAGTGTTCATAGACATTTTTTTAATATAAGTCAAACAAAGCCTAGTGTTTAGCACACTATTATATTGTACATGATAGGATTGGTAATTTTTTTCTTTTTATAATAAGGTTTAGTCTAATTCAAAGGCGTAAGCCCTCCAAAGCTATGGGTAACAATATCGAAAGCATGTTGGAAAAGGTGAGTCGTAAGGATAAATACCTAACTAATTAAAGGAAGTTAACTTGGGTTTAGAGAGTACAACGTGTATGAGTTAACTTTTACTGCACAACTCAAAACACTATATTAAACGAAAAACGACAAAGCATATTTTTATAAAATTCATCGAGCCATTCTAATTGTACAATGATTGACAATCACTCACATGAAGGGTCCATTTTTTTTTTTTTAATTTTTTAAACATGCGGACCCCGCACACATGCGAGAGATTGTCAAGCTCGATTGTACAAATAGAATTATTCAATTCTTTTATAAAGATGAGCTACAGGACACTGGTGATATCGATGTTCAACAAATACATTCAAGTGATAATGTAGTTGACATCGTCTACGTTTAAGAAATTGATATACAAGATAGGTACTTGTCAACTCAAAGATCTTCGGCAATCGACATTAGGAAAGTAGCTGTACTTTTTTCCTTCGCTCAATTTTTTATTCCATTAGATTTTCGCAG